GAGCCCCGAACGCGGGGGTGGGGGTGGGGTGCGGATGGGAGAGGGAGGGAAGAGACTGGCTGCGCATGCGCGCTCCGACGCCGGCCCGAGTCCGCACTGGGAGCGAGTCGTCGGCGGACCCGGGCGGGAGCTGAGAGAGGCCCCGGGACCGGCCCGCGGACACGCACCTGCAGGAGGCGGCGGCAGCGGCGCCCGGGCGCACGGGCGGGCAGGAGGCGGCGGGGCGGGGCGGGGCCGGGCGGAGCGACCAACTGCGCGGGCTGCAGCGGCCCCTGCCTGAGACCCACACCTGCTGGGCTTCGGAGCGGTGGAGGCCGGTCCCGGGTCTTGTTCAGCATTAACGTTCGTTTCTTGGCTTTTCTGTTTGGGTGACGGCGGAGCGAGGGAGGAGACCGCGCCGAGCCTGGTCTCTGAGAGCTTCCCAGACATGTCGTGATGTCGTGAATTACTCCCTGTTTCCCTCTTGAGCCGCAGCTGGATCGCACAAATCAGGACAGAGCGTTTCAGATGTTGGGGCTTTCCCCGGAACATCACTTTCCAGTGGTGGTTCATTGGGTTCCCAGGCTAGCCCACCAAACCCGAGTGCTGGTGCCGGGGTCCTCACCCGTGCCCGTGGGAAGGAAACAGTTTCAGGGCTTTGAGGACTGGCGACTCTTAAAATCCGGCATCTTTTTTTTTTCCTTTTAAAATATATTTTATTGATTTTTTACAGAGAGGAGGGGAGAGGGATAGAGAGTTAGAAACATCGATGACAGAGAAACATTGATCAGCTGCCTCCTGCACACCCCCTACTGGGGATGTGCCCACAACCAAGGTACATGCCCTTGACTGGAATCGAACCTGGGACCTTTCAGTTCGCAGGCCAATGCTCTATCCACTGAGCCAAACCGGTTAGGGCTCTTTCTTTTTCTTTAATCCGGTTTACCTCCAGGACTACTTTTCCTAGAATGTATGTAATTGCTTTGGAGCGTGCCAATGGGTCCGAAAGAGCAGTGGTCTGAGAACTCTGGTGCAAAAAAAAAGTTACATTAACATTTGTTTTTCCCAATCAAACTTCAACCATTTCCCACAGTTTATTTTGAGAGTTAGCTTACTATCTACACTAATAAAAGAGAAACATGGTAATTAGCGTACGATCGCTACCCTTCCCATTGGCTAATCAGCACATCTTTATGCAAATTAACTGTCAGCCAAGATGGCGGCCGGCAGCCATGCACTGAAGCGAACAGGGAGGCTTGCTTGCTCCAGTGATGGCGAACTCCAACGTTCCCCGCCTGACTTGCCGGCCTCTCAGCTGCAACTCTAAGCAACTATGTTGCAAATAGAGAAGCTAAACAAAACCCTAGAAACCGGCTTTCAGTCAGCCGGGCTTCAGCCAGCTGGACCGCAACATTGTATCAAATACAGAAGATAAAGGCCAGAAACCTGCTTTCAGCAGCGAGGCCTCAGAGCTAAAGCTGGCCCAGAATAGAAAAAAAAAAAAAAAAAAGGAGCAGTTGGGGAGCTTCAGTCACCCGCCAGCCTGAAAATGGCCCTCAGCCCCTCACCCAGACTGGCCAGGCACCCCAGTGGGGACACCCACCCTGATCCAGGACACCCTTTCAGGGCAAACCAGCGCCCCCACCATGCACCAGGCTCTATTATATATAGTAAAAGGGTAATATCCTCCCGGCACCGGGATCACGGAGCACGAGGCTCC